GTGTCTGCGATCTGCTCAAGCAATCGAGGCGCAAGAAAATGACTAGTTACCACCGACTGGTCTTCCGTTTACTTAGCTTCTGCTGAGCACAAACGGACTATGGTCAGCTCATTAGGCTGTCTCAGTCGAAAGTAACCATTCACGCCGCAACATTGGATACCTTAAGTGGGACTTGTTAATTAGACCATTCCTTGTGGTTCTGCTATCCAAGCCGTTTAATCTCCTATGGATTAATTTCATTTGTAAACCCACGTACAATACCACGGTTTTCGTATGTGGCTAGTGTCATCATGTAATAGATTGGCATCTAGCTCTTCTAAGTTCACCCAGCGCAACTGTTATACCACGCGGCGGGAGCATCTCCGTTACCTTGTCGACCTTCTTGGAGCAGTGTCCCTGTGCGTGCTCTGGGTCAGTTAAGCCGCTACCAATGGAATCTCTCTAAACGGCATCCCACCTACGCACCGCATGCCAATCAGTCGACTCTTAGCCATCATGTGGGTGTCTCGACTCGCTCTACGAGCGCATTACTTCAAGCTGGCTGTGCGGGGTGCGGAATTTCGTACACACAGTGCTCGGGCCGCGTCCCTTAGTGATACAACTGAGTTGAATCGGAGCGCGCACTCCCTCTCATCAGCTTCATCGTTAGTAATGCGTTGCGCAGCTAATTGTGAGAAGTTTACTCAAGTTGTATGGCTGAACACCACGTCGTGTGTGTATGTGGGTGCTCTACAAACGCAGTATCATCTTTGGGCAACAATGCGGGTGATCTGTACTGATGGTACCTAGCTGCATTTGCTTGCACGGAACATCTAATCGTTTATGGCTACTACAAGGAAATGACGGTAATATGCGGCCGCCCAACCTCTGCCGTCCGATAATCACACGGGTTACTGAGTGGTGCTATTGCCCGTAGGCATGAGCATCCTTTGGGTAAACCCAATCACTATCTTGAACGTTGCTGCTCCTTTGGGATTGCGCTGTCATCCATGAATATACAAATAGATGGATAACTAAACGTATATTTCTTTTCTGTACGAGTAGCTGGTCATTCGATAGGTTAAGTTATTATGGATATGAATTTCATGCGCATGCGTGAATAATTCAAACGATAGAGGTCATGTGTTTCACGACAGCGGCATTGGCCATTCCAAAGAAGGAATTGCTAATGCAGGGTTTGTCAAATATTGTCAAGTGTCTGTGGAAGACAAAGCAGGTAACTGATCCTATCCAGCAGCCAGCAGTGCTTGGGAAGAGCTGACGTGGAAACTAAGGAACAAACGAGGCATGCGCTCGGCCTCTTAACTGTCCTGGTTGGTACAGGTGGGACTGGGCCAACAGCGGGCAACTGAACATTCATCGGGTTTTTGGCTCTGTCTAGTTGATCGCTTATTGTAAACCCTACTAGTACATTTTCCGTAACCCATCGTGTTCCATGAACAATCATCAGCTGTTTATGCGCACCCCAAATTCATCCCACAGGAATGTTCCAGATCCTGTGGCCTGTGCAGTTGTCGTGGGATTCACGTGTTCCGGGACAAGTGTCATCGTTCGGGCTACACAACGGAAACGACCGTCGAATACAGAAGACATCCACTGCATGAAATGTGTGTTGGTGTGGTTCGAAAACGTCAAGTCAACTGCGAATGTAGGTATTGCATCCCCCAAAATTATTATACCTATATGTTTGCTCTGCCCTATCTTGTAGAGGTACGGTTGCAATCTGCACCACAGTTTTGATGAAAGCAAGAACCGTATTAGGTACTTGGTCGTAGTTCGGCTTGAGTTGGCCCATTTAAATCCTCAGCTGTTCCAAACAGAATGCTTATTAGTAGCCTTTCTATTGGTGGCACTTTGAAACCGCGCAAAACAAACTAAGCAGTGAAACGACTTTCATTAGACATAGACTGTAGGTGAGGAACATAATTCAACTATTGTGCCGCAATACAAAAATATAAGATATATGAAGTAAGCGAGACAAAAAACATTGCAGAATATAATATAAAAACCAAAAAGTAATATGATGCTTAATATCATCGGCTGTGAGATCAGCGTTGGAGGAGGAAGTCAAGTGGGAGGGGGAAGGACAAAGAAACAACACATACGCCCTTGAAACCAGTTATTCGTCAAGTCAACTAGTGTATCCAACCAAATTTGCTCATCGTCATTTGACCCCAACCCGGCAGTCAAGAGGCACCAACTGATTCCAATTTCCAAGTGCGTGTCTTGTGAAGCGGTTTTACTGATTGACGTTAGCGTCTAGAAGTCTAGAATAAGGATCACTCAAGTCAAGAACAGACTTTTCTGCGCCCAACAAGGGCGAATTTGCAGCCGTGTGATTAGAACAACATTCGCCACGTATCCTACAATCTTGCTATGGGCGGGCCACGTCAACGGATCACTAGGGCCTTTAAGTTCCATTCAGGATATTCTTGTTTGAAAATCGTCTGACTTCAGGACAGTGTGTAGAAGCTCTCGGTGTATTTTGTATATGCGTGTGTTAACTGTATCAGGAATACCCCGCATCTGAGGATAAAATCGTTTACACTGTGCTGTTACTTCCTACACATCTGCTCATTGTGCAACACGATCCGTCATTGTGCTACTAGGCAAGCCTAATACATCTGGGAGCGGGCTGGAGGAGTTGCAGTCATAATTCAGCTCTACTCTAACTCATTTTACTGGTACATACAGCACGCTTTGTGACGTGCGTGAGGATGTAAGATGTATCGTATTGGAGCTGTGGAGGTCTATGAAACTTAAATGCAATAAAACTTTTTAGCGCAACATTGTCCCGCGTTGTATGGCTTCACTAGGGCTCTCAAGTGTACAATTTATATACGAACTAGAGCAATTCTCAAGGGATCTAATTTTTATAACTTTTTGTTAACTAGGTGATCATCGCCACCTTGTTTCTAATCAGACCTTATGCAACCCTTTCTGTTTACAGACTGTCCAGTGGGACGCTTCGTCATAGTGCACGAGTGCAACCAAGGGACAGGCCTCCGTCTCATCACTCATGTGGAGTCAAAGTTTACTTCACCAGATCCTGTTGTAGCACGCTGTATTTCGACAACGCATCATGAACAGATCAAGTGTGGGGGCTGTCTCGCCGGCGATTCTGATAGGCAATTGATCACCACTTGCAAATATTTACCAACTGGCCCCGGTGATACCGAACCAGTTGCCAAGATGAGGCTGATCACAGAGTACATGGTCAATGAAGGTGGATGTTGTCGGCTTCGAAGGTCAGCTTCTTCCTGCCCTCTGTGCCAACATTATCAGGCAATTTGTGTGATTCAAATGGTATTACGATATCGTTTTGTTTACAATAAAAACAAACAAAGCTAAATGTCAGACCGCATCTTCAGTCCTATTGGTGCCTCATCACTGCACAAGAGCCACACTAAGGGAAGTTTCATGGTTCAGCAATCACTGAGACACCTTCTAACGCTTCAGCTATCCACCGTTGTTACCTAGGCCAGAACACTTTCAGTGTGTTCTCAATTTTTCCTTGCGCATTCATGATGGGCACCCAATTACCCAAAGTTCATCTCGAATCAGTCAACAGCATGATGCACAGTAACGAGGAGAGCACTATTTCACTAATTGTTATCACCGCTTACCTTATTGCTAACAATAGGTATTGGATACTAACAATAAACACTCTGTCAGTAAGCAATAGCTCAGAAAGGAACTGCTTGCTAGTGCCTTAAACTGGTTCCATCCAGCTGCAGGGATATTTCTCTATTTAATATTCAACACTTTCATATGTCCTTATGTATGTTAGCGATCAACGTTTTAGCCGTGGTAAGCTCAGTTTCATCGATGTATCCTGCGGAATCAGGTTTTTAACACAGTTTCGCCATTTCTTCTTCACACAGGTCGATTCGCACTTTCCATTGCGACGGTTGTCCCCCCATTCGTATCGCACGCACTGCCTGCAGCCAGGGCTACAGGCTTAGGCACTTATTCTTCTTCACCCGTACCGTTCAGCCCATGCATCACTCTGTTGCCCGTTGCGTCCGACGCTCAATAACTAGAAAGGAGCGTTGCACACCTACACCACATACCCTTCAAGGTAGGTTTCAACGGCCCTAACACGCACTCACGCCCGTACAAATGGTATTATTTTTCTCAAAACAGTGAGTCCATGTGTATGCACCCTCCCGTTGCGGTATAGTTGAGTGCACGTACGTCAAAGCCGCGATAATGACCGTGTCGTATCCTCGTCACCTCACATCAAAAAGTGAGAGAGCTACTATGCGGTCAGCAAATAAGGTGTGATCAATCGCTGAATCCCTATATTCAATCTGTGATGTATGCGCCTTACACCCATCCCGAGCAAACTTAATCGCCGAAAGTCACTTTGAAACAGACGACATTGAACAGCTTTTAGCTTCTCCAACAGTGAACTTTTAGCTCTCTTTTTTGAGCAGGTTTAATAGTAGCAAAGCTATTCAGTTGGACTTCATTTTCAGTTATGTATGATTAATGGTAAACTGGGGAGAAAATCTGAAGCCAAACACGCTACTCCAGATGTTCGGTTACAGTGCTCCAAAAAGAAAATGGGAAGAACAATAAACAGTGGACTAGCATCAACAATGAACTTGCCGGTTAAAAGTTTGTCTCTCTGAGTACTTTAGATATGATTTGTTGCAATTCTTACCACTGTCGCTTTGTGGTCTTCTCGACAAAACGGGTGTGGGTTGATGGTGCTTGGTGTTCTTGTATGTTTACAAGCCTTGTGGGTTCGATGATGTGATCTATCGACGCTATCTTTGAACACGTCCAAGGTAAGAGGAGGACAAAACTTTATGCACTTAGAAATGACTAGTATAACGTTGCCTGCTCTCTTTAGCACAATATTTATCCCAATCAGCTTTGACATTAGAGCGTCACCATGAACTGTTCTGTTCTGTGAATCTGTAGTTGTTCCGTGATTTCCAGACCTTTTGAGTGAAGCTATTCTGCACAGGATTTTAGTTTAAATAAGCTCATGTTTCGAGCGCAGTTGCGGGCAAAATGTGCAAAGAAAACACAGCATGCTTAGCACTTAATCGTGTAAAAAGTTGTACCGACAGGTATCAGTTTGTCTTCTAAAATCTGTGTCCCCTGCAAAAAGTAATGCTCACCACTTCACGCAGTCTAGCTCGTTAACTTCTTTAATTCTTGTTAAATTATTCTTTTTCCTACTAGTGGTTAATAGTCAAATTATTTTCCTTCAGCTATAGTCATACATTTGCTAGCAGATGTTTGTTTCTCGCCAGGTCCCGTGACAATCTGGGACACCGAAAGTCAATGACGCGGTTCTGTATGCACCAACTAGGGTAGTTAAATGTCGTGCACATGCCTCTTTCGCTACTTAATTTCCTCCTTAGCCTTTTCCAATCGCTGCTGGCTGGTGAGTGGGAGCAGCTACATGCTCTGTCTGTCACAGACACTTAATGACATTTGACAAACCTAACTTTAGCAATTCCTTCTTTGGAATTACCAATGCCACTGTCATGTGCATCGGACAGGAGACGGATGCACATATCCCGGTGCCATTTACAACCAGCAGATCCATCCTCCGTGAAACACCACAGATCGGTCAGACAGCATTAGAGAGAAAAATTTCCGCCCTAGGAGTTCTCTGAATGGGCACCGGTTAAATGTGTGCTTAGGGCTCCAACATATTTGTTGCGTATGTTTTTTCTGCGTGTATTATGTTTGCGACTGGCGACAGCAATGGGAATAACTTATTACATCTTATCTATTCTCCCTGCGTTGATGAAGTGCTTAAAGGGCTCAGTGTTGCAAATTCAGATACTGATAAATAACATTTGAAAAGTAGGTCTAATTGGAGGCTCCGGACATTCTGGCTGAAGTCGCTCAGCGAAGTTAGGTGCAAATGCGTCTGCCCACCGTAGTTGTGGTCGAGCTTTCTTTCGGTTCTACAACAAACTACGTTTTTGTCAAGTGGACAGTCCGTTGAACAGAGATGTTTCCCAATGACCTAGATGAAAGGGGGATGTCTTTAGGATTTTATACAGTCTGGTTACTGCACGAATCATTCGTATCCGGCTCAGGCCAGGAGCGAGCTGCGCATTGTTCAACTCGTGCCGTGAAAAGTATCACAACTGACAGTGAAGATAGTTATTTTGGTTGAACACTATAGCATTCGACAAGACAATCAACCGCTCCGATTCGGAGTGATCGCCTCCATACATGGATTACTGACCCAAACAACGTGCCTCAGTGAAATACGGTTTGTGAGAGGAAAATGCCAATCAGGTACCCAACCGGTGTTACGTAAATGTGATAGTTTTCTGAGTTAAATAGGTGGAAGTATTCTTGAATACACCCCGTAACGCCTCGTGATGCAACTCCTGTTGAAGGGGTGCGTTGTGCAGTGGTTGTGTTTTTGACCAGATGGATTTATTTCCTTCCTGCCACCTTACAATAATCGTAGGTAAATTTTCTACCGTCTTACCCGACAAACGCCCACTGAGTTTCACAAAATGCGGTAGACGCAGTGTATGTCTTCCATTCGATGATGAGCCTGATGATAGTTCAAGTTCCTCGGTCATTTGAATATCGTCTCCTCGCTAACATTGTATCCCAAAATGGCAACTGTGCTAGCTGACAAATACCAGATACCCGTTTGTTTGTGTGGTTATGGGAAATGTTGTACCCAATCACTATTCACTGTGCAAGTCCATAATGATATAAATGTTTGTTTTTACAAGGTGTGAGGAAATATTCCCCTTTTTTCTTATCCAGACGAAAGGTGCTTCGACCAGCTGACAACCGCAGATTGTAAGCTGCTACACTCCAGTGGTGAATGCGAAAAACCTACGGAATACACGAGAAAATTGTGTAAACGAACATGCCGATTATGTAGTTGAACTCTTAATACACAATAATCGAAGTGCTTTACGTCGTTTTGCTTTTCCCCGGGTGCCTTTTCTTTGTGACAGTTTGTGAGTAGTTATGTCGGGTGTCTTTTTCCAAGTCCAGCCACAAAGCCTATCCAGCGTTTTGCAGTAAACAGTACTCACCCGTCAGTGCTTGCAGCTGCGTTCCGGTAACTGATCCGTCACTCCATTTTTTTTGAAGGCTGGTTTTCCCGGTAGTCGGAAGAAAACAGGCATAGAAAAATTCGCACATAACTAAATAAATTATTAAATAACTAAATAAATAAAGCTTCTATTCTCTACAAGGCGAGGCACGCCTTTACAGGCATGTTCATTTTCACATAACAATGCGTGATCAAGAATGTGCGCAAATCCGTTGTGTTTGCCAAAACAGTGGATGTTTGTCTAGGGGTATGTAAGGATGTACTTGTGTGTGTATGTGGCTGTGTAGATCGTGCTTGTGATTGTGCTGCTCTATTTTTGTTTGATATCGTCAGCCATGTACGAGTAGAAGATTGGTGTCCGTGGGTTGGAAAGCGTGACTCGGATCTCCACGGGGCAGTGACTTTATTTTGTGGCGAGTCACGACCGCCACGTCACAGTGTTATTAAGCAGACCTTTGTGGCTTTTGTAGGGAGAACGCTTGCCAGCGAAAACCCACCAAGTTCTGGTACACTGCCGCCGAACTATTTGCTGGAACGGGGTAAACCCGAACCACCCAGATGGCACCACAAAGAAGTTGTTCGAAAATTGTCCGCATCGCAAAAGGTCCACACTGAAAGTTGGCCACTTACAGTACGCACATTTCAGAGTGTTGGCAACTCCATCACAATTGACCATATTATTTATGTGTGGCACTAACGAGATGCCAGTTTTAACCTTTGTATTCAACAGCTGCATACTGATGCAATAACACCCAAGCTGCTCACTAGTTCGATCGCTGGGCACATACTGCACTATGCTAGGTGCCAAAAGCAGTGTGATCCATTTGCAACATTAAACAGACAGCATTGCTCACGAAGCACGGTTTTGCGGATGCCTCAACAAACCGGCATCTGAATCCAACTGTGTAAGCTGACCGATTTCGTGATTAGCCTTGCGTTGCCTTGATGAGGTTGATGACCAGGCCCGCCGAGCCAGACGCTGATCGACAGAAGGTGACCTTTGATCTCCATTGTTTGGAGACCCATACAAAATATGGACGACATTCTTTGTGAGCATGGTTCCCTGTACGCTTTCTTTTGTGTGGGCACTCTTCCAATGCATATTTATATCGGTGAGGTTTTACTGCGTGCAATTTTCCTGTGTACTTTCATCATGGAACCCTTCTCTCAAGGCCAAAGTGCATAGCTGGCTCATGAATTTCGTGCCTGTGACCTTCTTCAAGTACGGATGCTCAGCACTGCCAGTTCTGTTCATATGCAACGTAGGTATGCTGATTATGACGCGTGGCAGTGAAAGCCGCAAGGAAGCTGTCTCGTCGATGCCGCCTTATCTTTGCACGATAGCCAGCTGTTTGTGACGGTATGATGTCTACACAAGGTGTAGGCGACTTGACCCTGAATGTTTGCTTGGGGCATTAAGGTTTTCAGGTAAGTCCCCCTTCTCTCCCTCTTCTTATTCTTTATTTCATAGGTCCTCATGGTTGTATGGCAGCGAAGCATCAGCTCAAATGACTGATGTACTGCTGTTGATGATGATGATGATGATGCTGATATGCTTCCAAGTGTAACGCTTCTAATCATAGAATGGACATGATTGCAGCCTCAGCTCGGCCCATTCTTCCACGCTTCGCGACCACGCTACAACGTGCTCCGTGCACACACGTTTGTGTAGTTTGCGATATGAACCACTCCATTTCTTATCCTCCACACCATACGACATACCAGTGGGTAATGTGTAGTGACCAACTTTACATGCCGGCTGTCCTGCATGAACCAAGGCTGCTACTTACTGTTGTAGCAGCATAGCAATGGCATCTTTTAGAAAGTCACCCAGTCGACCGGTCACCGTTACCTACTGGGTAGCTAGCATTTACAGTAAAGCACCATATAAGTCTGGTTTAAGTATGTCCGAATTCGAATCACTGTCAATTAAAACACTACACACGAAAACATTACCAGTCCGCCTTGTAGAAGGGAAAATCTCGTGTATTTATACGATGCACTTACGCGCTGTCCGTCACTGGTAAATGAGCTTAGAAGCAACGAATGCTCTTCATAGCTGTTACTAAAATACCCATCACAATTCTTTTGTATTCTGTGATCGCTTAACGGCAATTGCTGTTCCATGGCTCATGTGTGCATTTAAGTTGCGATTAGCATGTGGCCACCAGTGATAGTTTGAAATTAGGTGTTGTCACACTTTAGCAATTGCAGAACTAACGCTTAGTGGCTGACCCTTAGCCGAAGTATTGCAAAACAAAACACGTCAGGCAACAGAGGGCAAAACCATATTCTAACCAGCATATTGTACAACGCATCGATCCACTATGCTAAATTAGACCAATCGATGTGTGAGTGAATGGGTTACTGCCACACGCCAGTAGATTCAGGCAGCGAAAAGGAAGGGCTCAGTACATTCGCTGTGAGGATACCACATTCCTTCGCCCTTTAGTTCGGACTACTCCAGCTAGCTTGGTATCGATCGACGGGTCGGCGTAGCCAAGTTGAACGGCGACATTGCTGAGCCTCCGGTTGGCCTGAGTTTGGAGAGTTCGGTGCCTTTGTCAATTCAGTACGCTGGCTTGAGGATGAGTCATCTGACGCAATTGAAACGGAACGATGGTGAAGGTGATCCCTTTGCAGAGTAACTAGTCTGCCGTCAGGTAAATCCACTTCCGTATGTTGTCCCCCCAACTTCGCGCCACTCTCCAGTTTTTTAGATCGGTTCGTTGAGCAACTTGATGTAGACCGGTTCATTCTTGCAGAATCTTCGTTCGGAAGGCTTCTGATCGTAGTACGTCTTAGCTTTGTCTTGCTTAGCCTCGACACGTAGCCTCTGGTCTAGAAACTAAAGATCCACCCGTGTACTCAAACTTAGTCCAAACATCAACTCGCCTGGACCCTTCCCAGTAGTTTCGTTTGGCGTGATGCGGTAACCAAAAATAAATGTATCCAACTTTGTTCGCAGTGGAGCATACACTTTTTCCGTAACCCATTCTCGATCGTCTGGACGGCTCTTTCTGCCAACCCGTTTGAATCTGGGTGTTAGGGGGCTGATTTCACATGATGTATGCCGTTGCTTTTAAGGAACTCTTGAAACGCGTACTTAGTAAATACGGAACGGTTATCTGTTACTAGCGTATGTGGTATACCGAAGGTACCGAAACACGTCCGCATGCAGGAAACGGTCATCTCAGCGGTGGCATGCGCAAGTGGAAAAATTTCTACCCATTTCGAATAAGCATCTATCAAGACGGGAAACATTTTTCCATCCAACGGACCAAAGAAATCTGCGTGTATGCGTTCCCAAGATTTGCTGGGCCATTTCCAAGGACTAAGTAGCACCTCATGGGCGTTCCTCTAAGTGCTTTGACACACGTCGCAGTGTCCGATCAAATCTTCGATATCTCTGCAAATACTACGCCACCACACATAAGATCGCGCAAATGCCTTAATTCTCCTGATTCTTGGGTGCGTTTTGTGCCGTTCTTGTAAGATATGCTGTCGCCACAGTGGTGGTATGATCGCTCTAGATCTCCAGAGCAGACACCCAGCATCGAGACTAAGCGCTGTGCGTTGGAAGAAGTGAGGCATTAGTTGCGGTTTACAGCTGTCTGACCATTCTTGAGAGGTTAGATGCTTGACTTTAGCCAGGAATATATCCAGTTCAGTTTACTGACGGATACCTGCATTTGACACCGGATTTTCGCCCAAATGTTGCAGCAGATGGACAAGCTCCATAGAAATAAGTATTCAGTCTGGTAGGTGATTCGGCGGTAAATGGCCCCTAGCGTCCACGCTTCTATTCGCTTTCCCAGGGACATAGGTAATCTTGTAATTGTAAGCGGAGAGCAATAAAGCCTAACGTTGCATACGGGTGACGCCATCTTGTTTATACCTATTTTCCTCACCAATCAGGATTAACAGAGCTTTGTTGTCAGTAAAGATTTCAAATTTTTTCGCCACCGATACTGGTGGAATTTCTTGACACCACAGATAACCGCTAAAGCTTCCCAGTCGAGCTGCGCATAGTTCTTTTCCGCTGGTGCCAAACTTCTTGATGCAAAAGCTGTTGGTCGCTCGGTCATATCTTCCATTTGGCGTGATGGTACGGCCCCGAGCTCCGTGGGTGACGCTTCGTAACGAAGAGTGCTCGGTTTCTTTGGGTCCAAATGCGCTACCAAGTTAGCGTTGCTGATAGTCCATCTGACAGCGTCTTATAGATTTCATTGTCCAGTGGACCACAGTCACCTGGGATTCTTACGAAGTAAACTGTACAGTGGTGCAAAAAGACTAAGCAAATTGAGTAAGGAACGACTATGATTGGTTACCATCCCAAGAAAGGATTACAGTTCGTTGGTATTTCGGGGTGTTGGAGAATCCATAATGGGTTGAATTTTTTCCGTAGGGGATGTAACCCGTGTCTCTCCAATCGATAAAGTTGCGTAAAGATCATCTATACGTGGAATTGGATAAGGTCCCGTCGTTGTCGCTTAATTAAGTATTCGTTTATAGTCGCCGCAAATGCGAACTGAGCCATCAGCTTTCGGTACAGCAACGATCGGTGTAGCCCAGGAAGAGTGGCGTACGGGTGAAATTATTCCATTCTTTGGTAAGCGCTGTAACTCTATCTTCAGAAGGATTGCGAAAGGTAGACATCGTGCGTTGTAAAATGTCGGTTGAGTCTGTGGCTTGGTGTTCAAGTAAACTTTGGAAGCACGTATTTTCCCAACTATGTTTGTGTCGAAAACACTAACAAAAGTTTTCAAGAGCGTGGGTAAGTCAGAAATAATCTCCATCTTCTTAACATATAGTAATATTCCCAGC